TGTAAAAATGACGATTTAGCACTTTTACATGAAAATTGAGCATTGGCCGGCCATATTGAATCGAATTACAAAAATAATGCTGGTGCGCAAGTATCCCTTGGTATACTATCTTTGTACAAAATTGAAAGAGAAACGTTCATTGCATTCAAGAAAAAGTAGCATGGGTACTATGAAAAACAAGATGGCCGCCAGTCGACCATATTTGTTGGAATCACGAACAAAAATGAGGTGCACCTACAACCCAATATGTAGCTCATCATACCAATTTTGATCCAAATCGGCCCTGTCATCTCCGAGGAACTGCTGCAGACACGTTTAAGTATCAGAAATAGCAAATTTTACATCCAAAATGGCCGCCAGTCTGCAATTTTTTTCTCCAATGATAAAGTAACTTGACGTGCATATGTATTGTCTTCCTGTAAAGTTTGAATGAAATCCGTCAATGGGTGTCCGAGATATAGCTCCGGACGTACGTAAGTAAGTACGACGGAACGAACCCAAAATGGGGACTAAAAAAGTGGAAAAATAGTTTTGCGAAAGGTGGGGTGAACGCGAAACCACCAGTCTGAGTGATTTCGCGGTTACAGGGGATTTCGCGTTAACACTTCCATTTCGCTATTTTTTTATTTAATTTTAAATTTAAAAGGAAATAAATCGCCCAGACTGTGTCAGTCTACATAGATCGCAAGGACGCATATAGCTGCATCCGGGTCATAAAGATTTCCATTATTACTAATTTTATTATACCATTTGTATGATGTTCACACTCACTCAAACAATATATGACGAAATCAATTGAAGATACTCCTCTAATGTATGTACTATTGCATTTTACGATCGTGGTTTATCTATGTTTTCGCCGACTTTCTATTGAAAGGTCTGAGTTTTTTGAGCTGTTATGGTGGTTACCCTCATCAACGGGATATTGACTGTAATATAAACTAAACTAGGAAATTATATTGTCAAAAATCACATCTATGCTTTATTTACCTATAATCGATATTTTCATCATCCATATGCAAATTGTTTGGTGTTTATCAATGCAGTATTCCACAAGTTACCTAGATGTGTGGACTTTAAAAAAGGCGCGTCTACTGTGATTTCCTGTCAACTAAATATAAAGGCGTGTGTATTTTGAGCAATTCCATTTAAAATGAAACACCAAAAGGGGTCCGACGCTAAATGGAAATCACATACATTGTGATTGTTATCATAGAAACTAGATCGGATACCGCTCTCTCTCGTTGACGCCTTTGCGGTATAATTTTTCTCACCAAAATGTTGGTGCAACATTCGTTTGGAAATTTGTTAGATAATTAGGCTTAATTTCCTACTGGCTACAGGTCTTTATCAAAATGTTGAAAAAAAATATGAAAGGAATTATGCGGTGTTTGATTTGTGATGGTGAAAACAGTTGACTTTTACCGCGTTCATACGTGTGCCACAGAGCCGACTCGACTAACTTTAACAATCGTTATCAGTGGTTTTAATTGCTCATGTGTTCATACGTGTATAAAGACTTATCGGCCGCCATGTTTCTTTGAAATCCTTGCAATGAATGAAACTCCAGAGAGAAGCTGGCATCGAGGGCGTGCTTTTAAGGCGACGTTATTGTTCGCACGTGATTATAAAGCGGTTTCTGTAAGTGAGAACGGGTGCCGCTGAGACTTGCCGTTTTATGGCGGATTAAATTAACTCGGCGCATGGGGGTAAAAAAGAGATATCTTTGTTCTACCTCCGTGCTCGGCGTAAAGCCGGTTAAACTTGTTTACACTTGTTTCAACGCCGGCTTTACTATAAAGCTGTCCTCCAAACCGATATTTTGGCACAAGTGTGAACACGGTATTCGGCGCTCAGAGGTTTGAATGTTAGACATTGTTTACACGTTATGCGAGTCCACTCAGAACACGTTGGAAAATGTAACAAACTGGTTTGAAGAAACTTTAATCTAGAATAGTCCAATTGTTCCCCGTTGCTTAGCAATATACGCAAGAGAGGGTCAAATTGACATAGATTCACTCACTTTTACTTACTTACATTTGTAAGATATTTCTGGGGGCCACACGTACATATATATTAAACTCATAAAGAAACTGAGGCAAACAGGTTCCCGGACGACCGGTTGTAAAATTACCCCCCCCCCCTCGTTTTTGTTGCGAGCGCGCTCCGTAACTAAAAAGCATGCAACCTGCCCGGGAACTCGAAACTCGACTATTGTATGTTGGTCACGTAGCGAGCTTGGGAGACGGTTTTCACAGTGATATGCAAACAAGTTTGGTATTTATTTAGCAATCCATATGTAAGCCACACGAGCCGCAAATATTTGAAAGACAGGTTATTCGATATAGATGTTCAAACTCATGTCACAAAAAATGCCGCAGTTTGTGCATTTTCTTTTTCATCCTAATAAAGTAATAATGCATACCTGAATATCAAATTAATGCGGGAACACTGTCCTGGTAACTTAAATGTGTGGAACAGTAGACGCGATGACGGAGATTTGGAACACAAATATATGTCACGTGATTATCTCGCTCTCTACGAGATCTTGGCGGCCATTTTCGTCCAATGTCTATTGTTCCAGGATTCGTTTTCTACTTCCATAACCTGTTTGATCATTCTGGTTAAGTAAATCGAAATACTCCAACAACCTGAATACCATGGAGTGTATACAGTTTTTAGTCAGTAGTCATAAATATATACAAAACAATATTGTCAATTTTATTTGTACGCGTTCCTGTGAAAAAAAAAGTTCCAGCCACAGAGTGAGAATAGCTTTCACTGTAATTTAGAAATGTTCCTTGAATGCAAATACCATATACAGCAACCACAAAGACTTCTATCGAATATCACCAACAAACGTATTCATAAATCATATAGCATTTCTGGAAACACGTACAATATGTAGTCTGTCCGTTTTTGCTACTAGTATTTTTTGATAAATAGTTATGAAATGGGAATGCCTTGGTATGTTGTCTTTATAACGGGAGATTTTGTTTTGATGCGATAACTATTCCAGAAATTCTGAAAAAAAATAGACATCTAATTTCAGCTTCACAGTGTGACGAAATAAATTGGAAAAATGATGAAATATTCTGATTATATTATTAATGCTATGCTGGTGACATCCACAAAGAATAATATAACCACACGTAAACGAAACTATATTGTTAATATACATTTTTTTAATTCAGTGAATGTTTTGTAGAAAGATCTTGTAGGATTTCTTAGGTAGATAGTGTCTGCATTTAAGGAGGTGAGTCTAATATTTTATATACAGTTTCTTACAGTGAAAATATAATATTTAGTATTTATATAGAAATATTTATTGCATAACCTTTATCTTGTGACTTGTTTAATTTATATTTCTTGCACCCTTTTTTAACTCAAAACTCAAAAGAATGGCGACGGCAATTGATATTAAACAGTATACACCATATATTTAGTCAAGTATGTTTTCTAAATGAGGGCCCACTTTTCCATTAATATTTTGCCGATTTTCCTAACGTTAATATGTTTAAGTTTAAAATAACAATATGTAGAACCATTTCCGAATTGTGACATCCAAAGAATAAACTATTTATCTATTATATGTATTCCATTGTACTGAACATAGTAAATTTTTCATCATTACGTACGCCAACGCAATAAAAAAATGTGTATCAATCAATTCCTACAATTCATTTCGAATTTGATTTTGATGCTAAACAAAAAAAATGCAGAAAGGAATATTCATTTTCTTTTTGGGACGATAGTATTATCTATTCTATTGTAAATGGCAACTTTAAAATGTCATAAACGTGTTTTTAGTTATAAGTCAGACTAACACACCAATGAATTCGGTCTCCGTTGCAACCCCTCCTACACATTTTATGAAAATTCGTTTATAACTTTTCGAGTTATCTTAATCTCTGACAAAACAGAAATCCTGTTCTCCGTGGCAACCGGATCCAGATCTCACCTCAACCTAATCGATTGAAAAAGAAATTTAGTGAATTAGGTCGGATGAAATCATCATGGCTGTGTGATGAATTTGTTTGCACGTATCTGTTGTCCGACTTATTATAGCTGATTACTAGTGAATGGCTGTGTTATGTATGTCATCGTTTAGGCTCATGCGAGGTCCTGGACGAAACTCGACTCAGTGATTTGGAACTAATTACGATATAACCGTTTCCATCCGTACCGCTATTTCTGACAGTTGGTATTCGCAGTTAGTAATATAGTGAACGATTAATCAAAAGATATGACGTGTCCAGTACTTAGTGTGATTGGTTGAATGTGTGAAGGCCATGCCTTAGAGTCTTTTAACTGCTTTGTAATTGGTTAAGGTTTTGAAAGTGAATAAAGTTGTTTTTAGTTAGGAAAGACGCAGTCTTGGGGTAGTCTTGGGTCAGCCTTGCGATAGTCTTGGAAACTTTGCCCCAGGGCGCTGTGTCTTATAGAGTGCTCGACTGTCCGACTAAAGACGAGAGCTGAAACGTATTTTGTTGTGTGCCTTATTTGACTGTAAAGTTTAAGTGACATTCCCGGTCCCGTACCTCAAGGGGACGAGATATAGAGCCCAGACGAGATTCCCCCCTGACACGTGTGGAGAACCTCAGAGGAGAAGAATTTCCCCCTCATAGCTGAACTAAACCTTTTGCGTAACTTCTTTACAATAATGTATCGAAAGATGATCCATTTTGAACATTCATGCTGTTTATTGTCTTTATTATCTTGCACATCGCAAGAAAACGAACAACAACGGTAACAGTATTGTATTTGTTCACGTCAGACGTTTACATTATAAACAACCGAATGTAATTTTCTATCTTCAGTCACCAGAGATACGCGGGAAACCTAGCTGTAAGTGCCAAGACCATCCATCTCTAATATAATGGCTATCATCACAGTCTTCATTCTTGTTCTATCTTCGTCGGTTAATTATAGGTTCAAATATTCTTAACGTGATTGTTTTGAAATCCACCAAGACACTGCCAATGAATTCTCGCTACTTTATGACGTCACTAGCCATTGCTGATATTGGAGTTGGTATTCAAACAACATTTGCTATACACCCATCAATTACTGAGTGCTGGCCGTACGGTGATGTTGCATGTAGGCTTACAGGTGGATTGCAGTTTATGTTATGCGGTATTTCAATACACTCGCTATGGGCGATTAGCATAGAACGCTACCTTGCCATAAACTATCCACTCCGTTATCCATTTTACGCGACGACTCAGCGCAGTTACATTTGCATAGCCCTTATATGTACGGTGAACTTGGCATGGGTGACGCTGTTGGTGAGTCGTACAGACCCAAGTCATTACAGCTACGGGGAGGGGGTCTACGTGTGTCTACCGCAGTGTAACAAACCTGAGTGCGCCAAGTTCAATGCCACAAGTTCAACAGTGTTCGGCATCATCCCCCAAACAACCATGATACTTATATATAGTAAGATTATGTACGTTTCGTGGAAGCAAAACAAAGTGATAGCACATCGCAAGAAATCGACCACCAACGGTAACAGTTGTGTATTTCCTGACAGAAGCAAATTAAAAAGGAAATTTCGATCCGCTAAACTTGCGTGCATGGTGACTGGTGCCTCCCTGATTGCGTGGACTCCGTTTGTTGCATGGAGAATATTTGCAAGTATATCATCATCGCCAGTGACATCGGAACTTAAATTTGCTTTCACGTGGTTGGGATTTTCAAACAGTTTGTGGAATTTCGTGATGTACAGCGCTACAAGCACTGCTTTCCGTGAGAGTCTTAAACGAATATTCATGACTGTTTGTTCGTTTGAGAAACACGTTTGTAGAACAATTAACTTCAACAAGCATGTCTATTGGTAAGCACGCATCAGCCAGTGTCAAACTCCATTAAACGGTGCCATACTCCATCATATGACGTCATAGCCCCATTATATGATGAAATAACCTATCTTTCATGTTCCATATATCGCAAATCAATTATATTGACGAGTTATCAGACATCACACCATTTGAGATGATCTGTATTTGACTAAAAAAGTTTTGTACAAACATTGATGCTCAATAATAATATCACGTGTGACATTACAATGAAAATAAATGTAAGTTAATCAACAAAACTATTATTCCACATATTTTCACTGAATTGTCATATATATCAATTCCTATAAGCAAAGTCAAATTTATTGAATCATGAGTTATTAATTTGGCAGTGGCAGTGACATGAATATTCCTGTTGTAATGTAATCTTCTGTGCAAAATAAAATACATGATTATGCCTTCTAATGAATATGTTAATAAATTTAGTCAATGCGTCTGTAAAATGGGATATTATGCAGAGACCGCCATTCCTGTTATTGGATTACAATAATTCTACTTCACAGTGAATTCAAAGATGCTGCTTTGTAAGTTACTTGATAATGTTGTCGACGAAGACTTACAGAATGACGTGAAGATATGGTTATGTTCAAAAAGTGATCGTAATGTACCACAATTGACCGTGAATGTTGAAAGTCAGTACCAGTGTACAGTGCAGTACCACGAGATCGCGTCGCCTTGTACGTTTCCCCCAGCCCACTGATATTGATGGTGATACAGTATGGGTTGGCGGGTCGTCCTTTATTGTCTAAATAATGGCCAGTGCAAATTCTTTTATTTCAATTACGATACCCAAAAATGTCGTAAAATTTAATATACACGCAATATACTAGTATGCTTGAAAACAACGACATTGGGTCCGATGCTTCGTTAGGCCGACAGATTTTTATTCCAATTTTTTTAAAATTCCAAAGTTTCGTGAGTCCGTGGGTTGTTAGTTCGGGTTCAGCAGTCCAAGAGTTTGTTCCCAGGGTTTATTTGTCCGAAGGTTTGTTAGTCCGAAAGTTAATCAATTGTGAATCCATCCCGGAAGCACTATTGCAAGGATTCGGATATCCTCAAAGTCAACATTTTTTTCTAGTACTTGCAGATATCGTGACTTACATCAATACGAACTCTGAAAACAACAATGTAACATTTTACTGAATAAAGTAATTGTTGCTGAATATTATATGTAAATAAACCGCTGTGAAATAAACTTAAAGTCATCGTCCATAATAACATGTAACCATGACATTTAAAAGTGTAATTAAAACGACATATTTCGTACAGTTCATTCTAACTAACGTGTTCAAGAACGATACAATGATAACATAAGAATTTAATAAACTATTGATAAATTGCTACAAGGTTTATTATTAAAATCACATTTATGTGAAATGAAAACGAGAGTATAAAGCAATTCGCAAACGTCGTGATAAAGTAGATATTAAGTTAGGAATGCAAATACGCATGCGCCCGAGTTTACGATTACTAGTATTACATACGTGTTGATTGTCAAAACTTCACTGTCATACAGTTATACTTGAAGTTGGAAAACGACGTAAAAATTGACATACTGTAAAATACTTTATTTTAGCTAGAATCAATTTTGTTTAATGTAAAATATAGGAAGAGGTATAATCGCTGGATTTTATTTTCACTGAATTATCCTTTCAGCGTAAATTAAGTATTTCACAGTACAATATTGTCAGTTATTGCTGTTTTATACTTCAATAAATGCTGAGATGTGTACACTGTGGGCAGGCGGGGGCGTACATAAGGCATATTGTGTAGATGATCTCTCTAAGAAATCAACTGAACAACGGAAGTGTCCTAGCAACGAGTTCAATTAATAAATCTACAGCATTTATCCAATTGACGTAAATTCAATTATTTGTCATATACAGAATCCATCAATAATGCACACAATGCAGCTCATGTGTTGCCAAGACAACACTAACATCACCAATCAGGGATAGATACATGAGTTTTGCCTTGTGGGAAGATCGTTAATGAAAAAAAAAAAAACGAGTGGGTATGACGGTCAAGCAGTCTTGAAGTAGGCGTAATAAGTGTTGAATAAACCTTTCACGTAATTAGCGCCCTCTAATGTCTTTGGTTTTATTCACATAAAAAATCTTAAATATACCGGTAGTTATACAAGTAGCAATAGAAGTGTGTAATCTTGTACATACTTGCATAGAGCTGCTTTATCTTTATTCAGATAGAATATATTAACATACATCCGACACAAAATACAGGACACTGGGAAACGCATATTTATAGAGGATGAATTTAATTTCAGTCATGTATGTCCTATTACCTCCTAACATGAATTCTTCATATCATATATGATTTCACTTATCCATCACACAAGAAGTTGAGATCTTGTTTCTGTTAAACTAATAGACCATTTTCAGTTCACTGTGAGAATCACGCGTTATGCGTGAAATCGAACATAAAAACAGGACAAACAAAGGTCATAGCGTCGTAGTGGCGTCAAACATCGCGTGGGATTCGACAAAAGCGAAAGTATTTTGGGGGATATTTCCATGCTTAATAATGTGCTGTCCACATTTGATGATAGGCAATTTCGATGAAGTAAGGGTATTCGGAAGTGATATTCCTCTGTCGAAGATCGGCCGGTCGATACGAGTTACGAAATAAAGAAATTCGAGTTGAAAATCAAATCGTTCGACTTTTGCGGCAGACGTTCGACGCGCGTCTTTCATGCATCTCGCGAGATCTCGCAATTGTACAAAAAATCACCTATTCGTGTACTGTATTTGCTCTATTTAAACCGTATCTTCAATAAATGCACACATAAATATTGCATTTATTATATGCTGAATCATTAAAAGTATGCTTTACTTCGACCATGGCTAACCTCCTGTATTTTTGTGAGCACATGACTTACAAATATAGCAACCACTGTAACATGAATATTCATGCTTTCATTTATCATGAATTGTAAAGATGAGGAAACTATATTGTAAGCAAGGTTTGTTTTCTTTTCATAAAATTTATTTTTTCTGTTAAAGTCTCTGAGCCAACAAATGAATAAAGAATACTGGTATAAATATTAATTACAAGAATCTAGTATCAACTCTTTTGGATAATTGACTATTACAGGTAAAGAAGAAAGAATCTCACACACACCTGATAGAGGGAGCCCTCACAATCTGCAAAGGTAGTGGGATTTTGCTACAAATTGTATTCTATTGAAACTTCACCTTGTTTCCCTGGTTACAAATACAGATATTTTTATCTTTCAAATTGGGAATGTCATAAACAAAATGAAACTTCACAATACTTTTGAATTTTATTAATTTCATGGG